ACATCATGATTTGAATTCACAACACAATCCACATCATGATTTGAATTCACAACACAATCCACATCATGGTTTGAATTCATAACACAATCTACATCATGATTTGAATTCACAACACAATCCACATCATGATTTGAATTCACAACACAATCCACATCATGATTTGAATTCCCAACACAATCCACATCATGTTTGAATTCACAACACAATCCACATCATGTTTGAATTCCCAACACAATCCACATCATGATTTGAATTCACAACACAATCCACATCATGATTTGAATTTACAACACAATCCACATCATGATTTGAATTCACAACACAATCCACATCATGTTTGAATTCTCAACACAATCCACATCATGATTTGAATTCACAACACAATCCACATCATGTTTGAATTCCCAACACAATCCACATCATGTTTGAATTCACAACACAATCCATATCATGTTTGAATTCCCAACACAATCCACATCATGATTTGAATTCACAACACAATCCACATCATGATTTGAATTTACAACACAATCCACATCATGATTTGAATTCTCAACACAATCCACATCATGATTTGAATTTACAACACAAATTTAATCCCTGGTCATCCCGGATAATGGTTTGAATTCATAACACAATCCACATCAAGATTTGAATTCATAACACAATCCACATCCTGATTTGAATTCATAACACAATCCACATCATGATTTGAATTCATAACACAATCCACATCATGATTTGAATTCATAACACAATCCACATCCTGATTTGAATTCATAACACAATCCACATCATGATTTGAATTCACAACACAATCCACATCATGGTTTGGGATCATTCACCAGACTCCATTCAAAATTCTGCCAATTTTAGGTTTCACAAACAAACAACTGTTAAAACTCATGCAGCTTCCTGGCATCGTAACATTTTCAAGCGAATGATCTCAAAATAAATCTGGACTAAGAAATATCTGCAAAAGAGTCCAAAGAAGGAAAACTGCTGCTCACAAACATTAGAAAATAAAATCCTTACACAAAATAAACACCAGCTTCTTAAACGGAATACAGACACTATTTTTGCGTCAAGACGGTGTTATAACACAACAACAACAACAACAACAACAACAACAACAACAACAACAACAACAACAACAACAACAACAACAGCAACAACAACAACCATTTTGGACTGTAAATGAATTCAAGCCGGTTGTTATTTTGTGAACAGGGTTCCAAACAACGTGAGAGTAACTTCAAGCTGCGGGTGGGGCAAACTGCAAAGAGGCACCCCGGAGGAAAACAAAGGATTTAAATGTTAAGACCAGGACCAGGTCATTAAATACTCCACCGACTGATTAATGGGTTGATTATCCTGCTTTTTTCTCACCAGTTCCTCGGGGGTCCGCGTCTCTCCTCGTCTGCAGCAGCACTGACAACAAAAACAGTTCCTGCAACACGCCATCTTGGCTGTGGGGTCATGCTGCCT